TCTTGATAAGAGACCCGTCCCCTAGACAAAAGCGGAACAGCAGGTACAAGTAGCCTCAGTTCCAGAGAAGGGAGGAGGAAGTGTTCCTTCTCAATGTGCTTCATGCGTCGTTGTTGGGCACAGAAGGAAGCAATGACCTAAATAAATCCTTCATTGCACACAGAAACACACTGGCATAGGAAGCACACTGCAGAGCTCCGTGATAGGAAGCCTCTTGTATTACTGCGTACCTGAGTGGAAATAAGACCCTGCCAGGAGATAGGAGGCAGGAGTTGGGTGCTGCAGACTCTTACGTTCATGACTGTAGTGCTGCTCAACATTTGACAGGTGCAATTTTAGCTGCAGGGCCTTCCTGGGTAGGGCAGAGAGACATCCATCATGCCACATTCATGAGTTCTGTGTATTTTCCCAGAAATGCAAAGATACAAGAGATATGAGAGGCACAAAGGCCATGTACCAGCATCTTTAGCTGTCATATTATGGGAACATTTCACAGAAAGAGAAACTGATATAGGCAGAGAGCAAGAACCCCAAAGTCATGCACAGAGGTGCTACACAGAGTAGGAAAGCATAGTGTCCTGACCCCATGCTTATGGACACAAGCTACACGTTGGATCTATGCTATTAGTGTGTTGGGCAAGGGATACCAGAACAATTTACAGTTGTAAACAAATACGTGCAAAGCAAAGCAAATTCTTCCTCTTATGCAAACTCAGGAGAGGGATTTGTCTCATTTCTTAGGACACTTTAAAGGAATGAACATCTGTGTCTTTTCAACATTTGTGCTTTGAAGCACTGATGCCCAAATACGATTGTATTTGCAAATCAGAGTCATTGAGAAGTGATTTTGGTGAGGTCATGCAGAGTGGGTCCTTATCTGAAAGGTCAGATATCCTTCTAAGGAGACAAAAATAAAATGAATTTTTTATGTGTCCAACATGTGTGAAGATAAGGAAGAAGGAAGAACCTGTCTATGGACCAGGAAGAAAACTATATGAAGAAGTGAGTTTCTCAACACCTTGATTTTGAGTTCTCATCCTCTAGGACTATGAGCAATGAATGCTTGCCTTTTAAGCTCCTATCCCTAGTATCTGCGTAGAACAGCTCCACTAGCACAAAGTCCTCAGGGACATAACAGCAGAACTAAGCTCTTTGCTCGAAGCCCTTCTGCTGTGTAAGCACAGGACTGCCTGCTGGATCCAGGCAGGTGACATCATGTATCAAGTTAGGTGATTATCATGGGCTGTGGCAAGCAAGCTGTGCACATGATCTGTCTAAAGAGGCAGCTGCTGTCCACTCTGGCAGATGTCATTCAAGTACAAGGACTGGAATGATCGGATACTCTGGTTTTTCTGGATTCGACTATGGATATTAATGTGAGAAATATTGTTTTTTGTTAATGTAATACGTGGATATTTCTTGAGAATAAGGAGAAAGTAAGAAAAAAATGGAGAGCAAACCAAATCTGCAATTTCTGATACCGGGATCTCCCTTTCTCCTGCAGGGGAGCACTCACTGTTCCTCAGTGGCTTCTGCAAGGTTTCTGAGCTTGCATAGCATTCTGGAGATACATAAACAATCTACTGAATTGTCTTCAAGAATTCTCTCTAATGTGGAAGACACACATAAAGGAGCTAATTGCAAAGTTTCTGAGTGAATGTGAAGAAAGACATGTAAATAAGAGGTTTAAATTGTAGAAAATTGAAGAAAAGCAGGGTGTACCTAAAAAGAGGCCACAGGAGAGGTGATACCTGAGCACAATCATGAAGGACACATAGGGCTTGCTTTACAGGTCCCTTAACAGAGCATTCATTCTAGAGTTTTGGAACAGGAAATAGGAGTATGTGTGTGTAACCTCTAACCTAGCATTTGCTATGGGGCTCACATGCTGTTGGTGAGTGTTGACAGAGATGAAGTTTCAGGAGCTTGGGGACTCCATGATGTGGAAGTCCAATAGGAGAATGAACACAACGTTCTGAGTTTGAATTCCTGCAAGACCACTTCATTGGATAGATTCCAACTTGGGGAAAATTACTGGAAATTCTGGAAAATTTCTGCCCAGAGATTTTGTTTACATGTGTGCTTGGTTTACCATGGACATTTAAAAGCAAGTGTTTAGGTCAGGCATGGTGACATACACTTGCAATCCTAATGCTTAGTACGCAAAGGAGAAAGACTGGGCTGCATAATGAGATCCTGCCTCAAAACCAAAATAAAATGAAAACCTAGCATTGTGTATACATGCTTCTGCACTGACAGGGGAGTTGCCCTGGCACAACCCTGTGAAATGCATGTTGAATACATATATCCTATCGAACATCCCAGCTGAGCAGCAAGGTGCACCACAGAGCGTTGGTGGTTTCCGTGGTGATCTCACACCTGACTTGGAGGTGCAGCAGAGAGCTACCCAACATCCCAAGAGAGGATGGATCTAAACATTGCCGGCTCAAGAACAACTCCAAATTTAAAATGAAAATACAATTTCTTCTGGATGTATATTACTTTCTCATCAAAGTTGAAAAGTCCTATGTTAATATCACATCTTAACTGTACCGCTGAGTACCATGAATGAAGCAGAGACAGGACAATGCCACAGACACAGTCACAGTCTGGGGAGAGTCTCTGTGTATAAAACACTTGTCATGCAAGTGCACCTGAGGTTGAATCCCTAGAACCCATGTAAAGCTCAGCATGGTAACTTGAATACCAGTGTTCCAACGGTGAGATGGGAGGTGTAGATAAGAGAATCCCTAGATGATCAAAGGCCAGCTGATCTGGCAGTGCACAGCTATGAACAAAACAGGAGGCACCCTGTCTCGAACAAGGTGGAAGGTGGGATTCTACACCTTACGTGGTACTCTTATCTCAACATGCATGTGTTGGTATGTGTACAACGGCACACACACACACACACATTCACACACACACACACACACACACACACACACACACACACAGATCATATAAACACATATCAGACATAGATTCACATACACACATATACAGACATACACATATGCATCATAGACATAGATGGACATACACAGAGACATCATATACAGACATATCATAGACAAAGATATACACACATCATATAAATACATATCATAGACATAGATGCACACACAGAGATTTTTTTAAAAAGACAAAACCATGCCCATGAGGAACTCAGGAGGGAAGGTGGAATGGAAATAATCAAAACCTGGCATCATAGTAGGCAGTGATTTCATAAAGACCATGTATTTTTCTGAATAAACCCGTAGCCATTTATGAAACAACGTTCTTTGACCCCCCCTATTATAAACACACACACTCATAAACACACACAAACCATGGTGAATTATACTTTACAAAAACAACCACATTTAAATGCTACTTGAGTTCAACATTTCTTTGATATGTTCACCCTTGGTGCTGCAAAATTAATGACTGCCTCAATTTTTCTGACTCGAACTTCAATTTATCCATAATGAATCTACTGTAAACAAAGGACATCTATTTTGTTTTACTGCTCATCTAAAAGTCATGTCATCTATCTATATATGGTGCCCTTGACATAACCCTTTTGAAGTTCTCTTATTATTTCTTACTATAATTTCAATATCTTCAGTTCAAATATGATGACATTTGTAAAGAGAGATCATTATGAGTCTCATCTTTCATTCTTTCAGAATGTGAATACAAAATGATTGACTTATATTTTGTACCTTTAAAATATTATTTATTTTTACTTAGATAAAGCATTTGAAACATGTTGGTATCAACAGGAAGATTTCTATAATCAACTAGATGAATCCTGGCACTCACAATGTGAAGGTTTGGAGAGCTAAGAGTTTAGCTTTGAATCCCAGCTGCACAGACATTCCCCTGTGTAACCCAGATCAAATCCTGTGATCTGTGTGCCTCGTTTTCTTATCTGAGATGTGAAGATTGCAACAGTACTGACTTTGTGTGATTGTAATGAGAACCAAAGAAAGTGTTAGTACAGAAGAGGCTAAAGAGAGGGCCTGGCAGAGAGAAAATCCTCATGAAATGTCAGCCATTGTCACTCACTGACTTCTGTCCTCCACTGTAGCTGATAAAGGCTCTATTCAGGTAGTCTAAGTAACTAACCTAGATAATCTCAGCCACATACAACAGGTCTCCACAAAAGCTCCCTTGCTTGAAAAGGCCATTGCATGGGAATGGATCCCTGTTAAGCTACTGTCAGGAGCTGGGATCCAGTCCAGCATTGTGTTTTGACTTCTTTGTGACCTTGCCCAATATTTGGGGACATTCTAGACCTCATTTGAGCAGGAAAATAATTAGGACACAGGTTCTAACTATTTAACACACACCTAAAAAGATAAATACTCAGAAAATTAAGACATAGTCATACGTCTTAGTAATTACCAAATTCCAAACAGGATGATTCTTGTTGAGTTAGTCATAAAGCCTTATCACTTAACCCACTATCAGCCTGACAGTCACAGGTTAAATGTAGCAACACTTAGCAAATTTCTGAGCTGCTAAGGTGTTCTTGATGAGGAGAAGAAGGGGAATAACACTGTTTTTAGTAGGTAAATCTACTGTCTTCAGATCACAGCTAACACTTTTTTAATGAATATTAATGAAACAAACATCTGGTAGTAGATAGATCAAATAGACTAAAGAATAGTCTATAAGAAATGCTTAGTTATTGCAAGAATAAAGTAAGATACAATGCCATAGTATGATCCTGACAGTGGACAGGTTGTGATTTGACTCTCCCTCCCCAAGAGCCCACTGTGCCAGAAAACTGTGGACAGTGAAACAACAGCTTCAACAATGAGAGGCAAAAGACTAGAGTTGATAAGAATTTAGCAACTGAAAGAAGTTTGCAGTATGCTTCTTGGAGAAGACACTGGAGACCACTTGGGAGTCTAATGAGAATAAGAGCAAAGGTCAACACATTCGAGTGATGTCCAGACTACAGCACAGGGGTGGGGAAATGTATAAATAGAGAGATGTGCTTGAGATACCTCGAATTTAAGTCCTGGCTCAGGTCTGTCTCCCTGGAGGTTCTTCTTCTCCTTCAGGGCCTCAGTTTTCCATCTAGAAAGTGAGAAAGGGCACCCTGATGTCCTAAGATATAAGAACTAAATGAACTATTCTAAGAATCATGCTAACTTTCCTGATACAAGGTAGATTTTCAATAAACAGGAACTCTGTGATATATGATCTTTCATAAGCCGGTGACACTTGAGAAAAAAATCAAAGGATAATAGTGATAATAACTTGGGGTTTAAAGAACTATTTTTTTTTGTCTCCTTAAATAATTTTCCTAAGTATAGCAGGGAGTTGAAGCACTCTAAACACTAACACTTTGACAGAAAAAAAGGTTTTTTTCTTCTCAAAATACAAAAATGTTGCATACTTTTAGTTACAAAGGAAACAGTAACAGACAAAAAGCAAAAGACAGAACACAACTGTTCTTAGCCTGGTATTTATGAAGGACAGCTATTAGAAGACCATTAGTCATTATAGGAAAATCTTAAAAGCTACCCAGGTAAGGAAAGAAAGTAGGTGGTGATAATCTCACACACTGGTTTGCCTGAGCCAGCCAGACCCAACCCTAGGAGGCCATACAACCAGATTCCCTGGCCTGATGTAAACCCAGGACCCTTCTGTAGCTTCCTTTGAAATGTGTGTGATGAAGTTGAGACTGAAGACCGGGATCAGGATGAGCAGGCTCAACCCGCAAGACTGAAAAAGCAATGGTGTTCTGGGATCAGAAGCCTTTGAGCCCTGGGAGATCTGCTTCACTGAAACGCTCTGGTGAGTGAGTCCAGCCAAAGAGAGCACAGGGAGGAATGACCTTGACCACACAATGAACATCTGCACAGGCTGTGTCAAGTTGCTTAGGAGACAAAAGGCAGCTGCGCATCTGAACTCAGGAAGTCTAAACTAATACATGTACTTGCTCTCAAAGCTGGTGTTTCTATTTATAACAAATGAGCTTTGAATTTATAATAATAGTACTTTCACTTCCCAACTGCAAGGGCCACATCCCTCTCTTGAACCTTGTTCAACAAATCCATCTACATACATTTCATTCTCTCATTTCATACAATACATTGCATTGTTGTACCTGGACTCAGTGCAAGGCATCAAGAAGCATGCAGAATTGTTTGTCCCATTGTCTGGGACCCAAGTCCTCAGAGATACAGCCAAGTCAACAGTGGTCATAACCATGTCACCTGGACGAGCAGTGCTGTCTCAGCACAGGAGAAGTATCCATACTTATTCAAGGTGCTTAAGCTTGAGAGGAGTGCCTACTTCTCAGCATCTCCTCCATGAATTTCTTGTCTCGTGCAGGTTGGTGGCAAGCTTCTGCACACTCAAGTCTTTCAGGGATCCTGGAAGAAAGCAGTCACTGTTTCAAGCAGAGCATGTCACCAGCCTGAAGAGAAAGCAAACACACCCCAATGCAGCAAACACAAAATGGCTCCTAAATTTACAGGACAGGGGATCTATCCATTGTCCTCCTAGAACAGAGATCTCTGCAGTTCTCCATATGGGAAATAATTTGCCAAGGGATACAGACACCATTAGAAGAAAATCCAGAGAGAACATAAAGAATGACCCAGTGTGAACCTGATGAGAAAAAGAAGACATAGAATCTCCGCACAGGAAGCAGTGTGCACCAAATGTGGGGATACTCACATCACTGAAATCACGGGGTCCCATCATCAGATTCCAGAGAATAGAGTGGTAAAGGACTTCAGTGGGCACACCAGCTGCCCAACTTGGAAGTTCATTAATACTTCCACTTTTTAAAAGTAAAACATTATAAGAAAAGAAAGCTTTTACACACCTACTATATGCATTATATGCTCCAACTAATTAAATGAACTGTCATTAAATCACCATTAAATGCATCATTGCACTTAATCTTGAAGACTTAAAAGGAGGGTGGCAGGGTCTCTTGTGTTTTCATTCAACAGTTCCCAACAACCGTCTGCTGGCCTTGGGGGTGGGAGTCTCTAGACAAATTCCCCGAACTCTATAACCTCACCTCTTGAAATAGATTTAATATTAAATAAATGAGCAAAGAGAACTGTGTGATTAAAATTATGAGTGAATACCTAAGGAAGAGTGAAATTATTTACTTGCCCAAGGTGACCTTTGCACTGAAACCTTATGTGGGATGAGATCGCATCTATGTCTAAGAGTCCAACACAATTCCCGGAGTTCTCCATTGCACCCGGAGGACATGGAGGGTTCCCTTTATCCCTGAGTTTTGCAAAGATTACTCAGGACATAGGGAGAGACTAACAGGGAGAGATGCTGCAGACTGCAAATGATTGCAAATGTTATGGAGCCAGAGCAGGAAAAGAGAGCAAAGCAGGAGGATAAAAGATCTGTATTTCAGCTGAACATAGCAATAAAAAAGAAGTTATGAGGCTCAGCCTGATCAATCACCGGCTGCCGTGGACAAACACAGCTGTAATAGTTGCTCAAAGTAGGAGAGATCGATTCAGGGTTGCCATAGTCAATTAATTTTCTCCTCTCATTGCTTCAAATGTTTCTGTGCCTCAGTTTCCTTTATATTTGCACACACACACACACACACACACACACACACACACACACACACACACCCTTATTTACCTTTGGGCTAATTTCTGGCTGCTAGGGACTACTGGGAAAATCGAGAGGTATTTGAAGTTTCCCTTCCTGCTTAAAGGACAAGTGAGGTCCCCCAAGTCCATCTCTTCCTGCTTTAGAGCCAAGTGATGAGATCACCTGTGTGAGGGACACTGTGATCTTTCATCACTCTGGGATGGGGTAATCATCTATACTCAGGATGGTACTCTTGATCTGATTTTCAGCCAAAATCTGCCTTTCCAGAGAGAGAAATTAATAATGAGTATTGGGTGCCACCATGTTGATACTGGCTTTGTGCCAGGCTTTCTAATGGATGCTCTACATACATTACAAATAAAATTCCTCATCAAATAGAAAGACATTTTACAGATAAAACAATGAAGGTTTTTAAAATGCAAACTCACTTTCAAAATGTGAAATACAATGGAAAAACACTTCTTTCCTGGTCGGGGATATTTTCATGTGCCCAGAGTCACTGTGAACTCAAAACTACTCTCGGAACAGAGCGCTAGCTCTACGTGTGGTCTTACTTCCCAGGAGGGTGATAAAGGATGGCTCTATTAGCCCCATGAATGGATCATTCACACAAGGTGTGCAGATGGAGCTGAGAGTGGCCGGGGGGGCGGGGGGGGGGGATTCTCCCCGAAGAGTCATTCCCATGGAGCACAGAGCAGACAGGATGACACTCTGAAAGGCTTCTCCAAGAGTTTATTTAAACAATGCAGATGTAAAGCCCAACCAAGGAGGAGCCCCACCTCCCCAGAGGACCAGCAGGGGCACAGTGGCTGGTCCCTCCACAAGGTGGCACTCCATGCCCTTGTCTTTTCATCTGTAAGGAAACAGATTTTACACTGCACAGGGATCCCCCCAGCTTCTCTCCAGCTTGACAATTTGAGCTTTTTATTTCTTTCCTTCCATATTAAGAGCATTACTTTGGGAACCTGAGCTTTGGGACACAGTATGGAGGTGGCGTTAACCTAAGTGCCTGCATGAAGATAGAAGCAGGGCTTGCTGAGGACATTTCTGTCATATATGACTAGACTCCCTGCCCCTGAATTGTGTTTGTCTGCTCTTCATGGGTTTTCTGTTGTCCCACCTTCTCTTCTCTTTTCTTCTTCTACCCTCTGCTCCTCCCTGTCTCCATTCTTCTCTCGCACAACATGCACTCTGGGCCTTCTCCTGCCTTCATCCTATACCATTTCTTCATTGCTGTTTCACAAGGGAAAGATAAATTAAGGTTTGAAAAGCAAAATACTGAGACCCTGTCCTATAAATGTGATGTATGAGCTTTAGTTCTTGGGCCCCATGACACCGTATTCAATTTCTTATCCAGGGTCATTATCACTTTCTGTTGTGAGCTTTATGTGACACTGTCCATCAGGCACCTTATATCTCTTGACATAGTTTATTTGTTTAGCTGAGCATTAAACAACCTCCTGTTATAAATTCAAGCATGCCCATTTCCCAGATGTGAAGACTGAGGTTTAACCACAACTTACCTTTTATGGTATGGCTCATACATAGTAAAGCAAATTCCAAACAAACCCAACTGGCTGGCTAACTGAATGGCATTGTGCCCATATTTTTCTAGATAATATTCTATAGAAACACACTGCTAGTACAAAGTTTATGTTACACAGGTACTAATATTATATGTAACAGAAATGTATTGTTTTATCTTAAGCAATATTTTACCATTGAGGAAGCTATAAAAACACATTAGAAACTATACAAGCAACAAACTCCTTGCTAATTTGATTCCCTATCATGCCTGATTAGACATGCTCACACCCATCCTCACAACATGTTCCAAGAATCCTAGGGAGATCGCCATTCAGTTCCTAATCCCAGTCTAGCACACCAGGCCCAGTACATTGGAAAGGCCATCTAATGGACTGATGAACTTTGTAGTCATCTGATGGAAGAGTAATTTCAGGGATGAGCTTGCAAAGGCCAGCTTGACACTGGCCCTAGTGGAGTCCTGTGGGGACCTAAGCTTCCCTTCATTATTAGTTCTGTTTTTTTGACAAAGTCCTATATGTATATAAAGTATTGCAATTGCTCACAGCCCCTTATCTCCCTCCCATCTCTATAGAACACTAGCCACCATCCCCTTCAGTCGCTTTCTCAGATTCACAGATTTGGGTTGATTTTGTGACTTACTTGATTTAACCAGTGTTATCAGTGTGGCCACTGGTTTGGAACCATGCACCGGAGCCTGATGGGGTCACCATTGGAGATGTATCTAAAGGCAATAATTCCCTCCTCTCCCTAAATCGACAGGAGCAAGTAGTTCAGCAGTGAGAGACAGGCAGCTCTGAGTCCCTCCTCCAAGCCTGCTTGACTTGGGCAACCAGTGCCTGTGTCTTCAGGTGCTCTGAAGCCACAGCTGTGATTGCAATGGCTGTCTTGCCGAGGAGACAACATTTCACAGTTCTACTCCCTATTACCTGGCTTGTAGATTCTTTCCTCCCTTTCTTCCATAATGTTCCTTTTGCCCCAGAGGAGCTGATACAAATTATTTGTTTCAGGCTAAGCACTCAACTATCACTTATTCTCAGCACCCTGTACAGGTATGAGCCCCCTTGCATTCACTGCCGTTCACTAGAAAGAGGATTCACTGATTAACATCTACACGTACAAACATAAATATTTAGAAGAAAGCTTGACCCTGTCAATTTAGTTAAGCAATGGTATTCAGTTCCCACTAGGGCCCATTATCTCCCCTGCTATGTTTTTTGTTTGTTTGTTTGTTTTTTTATCCAGTTTACAATACCAGGCATGGATTCTCTCTGGTGGGGCAGGTCTCAAATCCAACTAGAGAACAGTTGATCATACACATTACAGTAGTACTGCTGTCACATAAGAAGATAGATACACTTGCCTGGCAGGCTGGTTTCATAGATAGTAAGATTCACAGCTGTCTAAGACTATTGATTGACGTCTCCTCACACTTCTCCCGCAGCCTGTACAGCCCCTTCTAGAACTATGATGGACCAGCTTAAAGATGGGCTGTTTCCACTTCCAGCTTAATGTCGCTGTTGTGCATCCGAGGGAATATGGTGTCTTTAGCAACCCTGTCTCACCATCTTGTGCTGGCTGGCAACAAAGAAAATGATAAGCGCTTGTCCTGTTTGGGGGTTCCCTGACCACCAACTCACAAGGATGTATCCCACTCCTGGCACAGGGCTTTTGTTTTAATAACCCATGACTTCTAGGGGCAGCTTTTTCCAGCTATGCAGGGCATTTCCCTTCAAACAGTTTATTAAAAAAATAAATTATATGTTTTAATTTGGTTACAGGATAGTAGGTTTCCATATAGTTTTTTAATATCCCTTCATCGGGTTCACCCTCCTCCCTGCCACCTTGCCTCTCCTATCTTCCCACCCATTTTTACTTAAATCTTTCCTATATCCCCCTGCTCTATCTCCCCATTGCCTGTGTTCTTCTCTCCTCCTGCCCTTTGTACCATTATCCTCCCAATGGCCTCTTTTTAGTTTCCTGACTTCTACAGGTACTGCAAGCTAAACACACAGAATTAGGGATTCTAATACTACGTCTGTAGAGATGAGCTGGGAGCCATGTTTGCATTTAATAAGGCCCTGCTTTAGTGGACCCAGTACTCCTCTGGTCGCCTCACAGGTTGACATTTCTTCTTCCCAGAGACTGCTGAGAAAGATATGGCTCATGATACCATGGGCTTACAGAGAGAATGTGTGTCTCAGTTACTAAATACATACCAGGTTCT